AAGCTAGAAAGAGTTTGAGTATTAGGAAGCAAATCGAACCCTGGTGTTTTTAAAGCTCAAATGATGAATGTTCGCACCTGCTGCACAAGCCTTGAATTTTTTCACTTTTTCTCAAAAAAGGACCACAAGCTTTAGTGTATTTTATTGGAATCTGTTGGACCAAAACAAAGCAGTGCATCATTGTCAAATGGAAAGAAAAAAAAAGACTTGAAACACTTAGAGAAAGTGAAATATTAGAAATGTGGTGGATATTTGGACTTAATCTCCTCTAGTCAATACATCCCAGACACATGTCTGCCTGCACTTGGGTAATATTTTGCTTTTCACGTCTAGAGACAAACACTTCCACCCATTCTTCTTCCCAAAATGGCTCAATCTCAGTCTTATTAGATGAAGAGCGTCCATTTTCAACCTTTGCCACAGTTCCTCTGTTTAAATTTGGTTTGAACTTTGTCTGGGCCATGGATACACTTTTATTAATACTGCCCTGATATAATATGTTCAGAGCTGTTGTTCTTGCTAAGAGATGAACCCCCTCTAACAGGTCTTCTTCCTGTATTAAGCTCCATCCATTTTCCGATTGATTCTGACCAGCTTTCACACCCTAGTTTTCCTACACATACAGGAAATAATTAAAAACTATCGGCATCTTTGTGGTCTATCATATAAAGTTAGTTGCAGAGTGAAAGAATGTGTACAATTAAAAGGAAATGAATGTTTTTGCAATGCGCTGCACATACCAGTGCTCCCGCTTCCTTGTGCAAGAGTGTAAGTCCTGTGAATCTGCTTATCTCAGACCTCTGCTCATTGAGCAGACCAGCTGAAGGCATGCAAGAGCTATTAAGATGCCCACATGTCACTTGCGCAACAGAGGGTGAAGAACTGTACGCGGTAGCTTCTATCACGCGGTTCAGAAACGCTGAGATCGGAAATGTTTTGGCTCTGAGGCCCGTTGCTGTTGCGCTGATGGAGCTCCAACCGGTAACGCAGGCGTCATCCTTACACAAAGAAATGCGAGGAAGAACTTGTTTTTGACAGTGCCGAGAGGCTGAGATCACTTGCAAATCTGCCTAATCAGGAGCACATTGCTGGGGTCAGCCACGGCATGAACCTGGGAATGCTCCAGGTTTTCCTCCTTCTTTTGGAAATCACAGACATGTGTGCTCCCCTTCTGGGAGACATTTTTCCAGGGGCGTTGAAATAAACTCCCCGTGGGAGGCTCCAGAAAAATTCTGGACATTGTCAATAAAAGGATAGAAAATAAAGTGCTCACGTTTTACGGAGCAGGTAGATGTTCGCCAGGTGGCGACTATTGCTTTGATTTTATCCTTTGTGTGTATCTGCAGAGCTGCTTGATGAAAAAATTACTCATTGTGCTTGGTAGGCATGGAGAACCGATGCTGAATCAACTGCATCACCTCCATGTCGACTTCCTCCAGTCGGGTTCAACGAGTTTGAGGAAAATGATGCTTAAAACAAAGTATCTTCTTAAAAGCTGCTTACTTATCAAATTTTTCACACTTTTTTTTTCTTCGTTTGGTTTGAATTCCTCCCCACCTACTTTAAAACAACATGGAAATTGAAATCATCTCCTTTTCTTTAAAGATGCTGTAGGAGACCTTGGAAAAAACGGTTCCAGGAAGCTATATTTTTGAACATACACAACCATGCCTCTCCCTTCAGATCACCCCTCGAAACCACGCCACATGAATGTGCATTCTGTCTGTTGAGGTGTTCATCACGGCACAGCGAAAGGTCCCACAGCGCGTCTGAGCAGCAGCACGTCGCAGAGGGAGCTGGCAGGGAGAGGGACACAGCGCTAATGATGTAGAGCGCTATGATCACTCCTCTGAAACAGTTTATTACAATTAACTTAATATGTAGAAATCTGCCGGCATCATGCTAGCTTTTATTATCCTGGTGCCTGCTGTTTGGATTACGTACATGAAAAACTAAAAACCACTGGGCCAGAGGCTGCTGTTGAATGGGATTCCCAGTGACAGTGCACCGCCGGTGTACGGGGGTCTGAGCGACTCTGACAGAGATAATATTTGAAGGCAGGATGGTAATCTGGATGAACTGACTGCACTGACCATGTTTTCAGGATTCAAACTACTTTTTAGCCGCTGATCACAGCAAATATAGCTGCCAATTTTACAGGCAAAGGAAGGATAGGGTAGCTCCGCCCAACGAGCATCAGAACCACTTTTCCACCGTGCAGCCAGAGCAGCAAAGATGCTCCAGCCTGGCATCAGATCTAAACTTGTACAAGCATCAAAAATGAAGCAGCATGCACGTTTTTGCTGCTCTTGCTGCTTTAGGTGTGAACGTAGCATAACAGTGACTAGCTTCCAGCCATGGCCATCCTGCATGAGCGTTGGGGGATCGATTCGTTAATGTGTCACGGTAAACGCACAAGGGGGAGGGACAAGCAGACAAGCATGATTGACGTGTCAGGAACCAATAGTGTACAGCGGAATGTGTGTTTGTAACGAGGACCATTTATTTTAGTTTCACTTCCAGACCTTCTATTTCACTGCTTGCTAAGCGGCTGTGTGGAGATCTTTAGGCCACATGGTTAAAAAATGAGTCAGAAAAGATCTCCTACTGCACCTTTAATGCCATATATTAAGAATAATTTATTAAGAAAACGCCTAAAAGGAAAGAAAATTGTCATTAAATGTATACACTCCTTTAAGAAAATACTTTTAGTCTCTGCATACTTGTAAGAAATCCTTTAAAATGCTAATTATTGAATCTGTAATTGAACTGAAAAAAAAAACCTAACACCTAACCTATATTATCCTTCTTTGGTTGAATTTACATCTGCCAGCTGAACTGTATCATACAGGGGTAGAAATATATGCAAACAAAAATAAAAATTTGAGACTATGAAAAAAATACTTAACAGTTCTTAGTTTTATTAAATATCATAATAGAGTTATGATATTTAATAACACCCCCCCCCCCCCCAAAAAAAAAAAAAGAAAAAAAAAGAAAGGTATCATGGAGGATTTTTTTTGTAAAGGCCCGCCCTCTCCTTTTAAAAAAAATGCACATGCACAACCCTGAACCCGCTCCTGAGAGGAAACGCCTATTAAACATGTATCAGAGCATGAACGAGCCCACTTCTCCTCATGCACGCTCTGTTTAACAGTTACTTTTTGCATAATTTTCCACTATGTCAGACTCACTATGTAATTGAAAATGGAGAAGAGCACGTAGGATAGCCTTATGTAAACACATTACCAGATTGATTGACAATTAGGAGGACCACTTATTTAGATGATCCACCCGGAACAAGAACATCCTCCACTATAACTTTAATCGAGAATCTGTGTCAATATCAGAAAAGCTACTGTTCACAACCGCTCTCCTTCTATATAAAGTCCCCCCAAAATTTAACTTACGAGATTAATTAAATCAGGGGTCTTCAACGTTTTCCAGGCCAAGGGCCCCCAAACTGATGGCGAGATGGAGCAGGGACCCCCTAATTATATATATTGTATGAAATTGTGTTATATCAAATTGGTCATATAGTCACTCTATTACATATGGAGAAATGTAATAAAAATAATTTCTCCCTGGGATTATTAAAGTATTTCTGATTCTGATTCCTGGTTGATGGGACAGGTGTTGTGAATGAAACGGTTCCCAGCTTGAAAGAGCTCCTGTTTGTCGCTGAATGTGTGCATTGATGACTGAAAGACATTTTCTGCCTCCATTTATCGGTTTACTACAGTCTGTTGAATTCATGTTAATGTGTATTTAAAGACATTTCAATTAGTGGAAAAATTGCAGTGGGGAATTTAAAAAATAAGTTTAATCAACCAAAACTTTTGCGACCCCCATGCAGTACCTCCATGGACCCCCTAGGGGTCACGGACCCCCTGCTGAAGACTTCCGAATTAAACCATTCATTCATCAACTGTTGCACTGAAATAATAACCTGATTGCCAAACGGCTTGAATTACATATTCACCTCGTAATGGTGTGTGCCTCTTATTACTGTCTAATTAGTAAAATCAGAAGTACAGTATGCAGTGTGGATCTAGGTTATGCATAAATATTCATACATTATTTCAAAAGTTGCATTTCAACCATGTTTTAATGACAGTGTAGAAGTTAATTATAGTGTTGTTTTAGATTGGATGATTCACACTTGTTTTGATTTAATTTTTGCCCCAAACGCCTTCCAATAGTTCCTGATTTATTCTTTAAACATTTCAAGCCCGGTCATCTTGGCCTGTGGATACATGGGGAAGACAAGAAATCCCTGTCAAACACAACCACTTCTTCAAGAAACCTTTTTAATGACGTTTAGATTCACCGCCATCCTTTTTCATCCCATCTCATCTTGTGGAAAAAGGTCCAGTTTCGCATCTTCTGAACTTATTGATAGGACTATTAAACATATAAGGCTATTGAATGCCTTACTGCTACTTTGGATGTTTTTTTTCTTTTTTTTTTTACTTATTTCTGGCTTTAGATAGAGGATGAAAATGTGAGGTAAATCAGCTTGTTTTTAATATTATATTAAATAGCAAACTCAGGATGGCTTCACTTTGCTCTAGCATGGCTTTACTAATGTTATTGAATTTTAGCAGGAGTCTTTCACAGACATTTCATCAACACCTTAAGAAACGTTAGCTTGTTTATAAAAGACATAAGTACATTTTTAAACAAGAAATGATATCAAGCTTTTTTTTAAACCATTCTGTTCCTGCTGTTTCACAACTGATCTTTATTATTTTCTTTCCCACAAAAGCAAGCCTTCCTTTAGGTTTTATTTATTTTGACACCTTCATTTGATACGGACTGTGATGTTCAGGTATGCACTAAGTTTTGCTGCCGGTCTTCCTCCTGGTCCAGTTTACACAGACACCCACAGAAGGGGCTTTGTGTCCAGTGGTGGTCTGATATCCTCAGGATCAGCATTTCTGAATGTTATTGAAGGTGGGCGACCTGGAAAGCTCAGCACCGTTGTCTTCTCTCCGCAGGTCCTGGCAGGCAGAGCCCGTTAACTTTGGCTCGGGGGTCCCCTGAAAAGTGGAGGGCCAACTCCAGCTTCAATGTGTCCATTCACGCAGCCATTCGATCCTCCAACTGGAAGCTGCTGACTGGATACCCCGGTCAGTGATCTTTGCTGTAATGACATGTTTAGTCTGAGAGCAGAAAATCACTAACAGCACAATGACATTTACTTTTTAACTCCATGAACCTTTATTAGGAAATAAAGCTTTTTAAAGGTTAAAAGTATTACTATTATCATGTTTAGATGGATTCTGGTGCTTGTTTTGTTTTGTAGCATATTTCAAACAGAGTGACTTCTGGGGTTTGTTATATAGTCTGGAAAGTATGGAATTTAATATCAATATTTTTTAGGTTTTGGATAAGTGCAGGAAAAGTAAGAGTATAGCTAAATATTATTTTTTTTCCACACCCTCATTCCATCCTTCCAATAAAACCCTCATGTTTCCCTTCCCTCCTTGTCTTCTGCCTTCTTCAGTGTCTCTTTCCGTTCTTTATCCTCTCTGCTCTGGCTCTCTTTTTTGTCTCCTTTCTAGTGTCCATTTCTTCCCTGGTTTGTTTTTTTGTCTTTCTATCTTTGTGCTCTTGTTTCTTTCATTCTTATGTTTCTTTCTTTCTATAGCTTTCTTTCATTCTCTCTTTATGCCATTTCCTTCCTTCCTTCCTTCCTTCCTTCCTTCCTTCCGTCCTGGTTTCCTTCCATCCTTGTTTGCTTCCTTCCATCCTAGTTTCCTTCCTTCTGTCCTGGTTTCCTTCATTCTGTCATTGTTTCCTTCCTTCCGTCCTTGTTTCCATCCTTCCGTCCTTGTTTCCATCCTTCCGTCCTTGTTTCCTTCCTTCCGTCCTCCTTTCTTTCCATCAGTCCTCGTTTCCTTCCTTCCGTCCTGGTTTCCTTCCTTCCGTCTTTGTTTCCTTCCTTCCTTCCTGGTTTCCTTCTTTCCGTCCTTGTTTCCTTCCTCCCGTCCTGGTTTCCTTCCTTCCATCCTTGTTTCCTTCCTTCTGTCCTTGTTTCCTTCCTTCCGTCCTGGTTTCCTTTAGGGCTGCACCGATAAATCGGATGGCTGATCGATCGGCCCCGATTTCCTTAATTTAGGGTGATTGGTGAACGACCGATATATACATACGAAACCGATCTTAACCACCGATCTATTTACCTCCGCGAGTGTCTTAAAATCAGTTGCTATTCCATATTTTTTCTGCTCCTAGAGACGGCTGACTGAAAGACCCGCCCACCGGGTCGAGTGAACTGTAACAACATCCGGTGTTGCAGTTCACAGGTCACCAGGAGCAGCTACTGTATGTCGTTGGTTTGGAAATATTATATTGTTAAAGAAGGAGACGAAAAGCTCGCAATTTGCAATTCTTGTAAGGCCGAAATTAGTCGGGGTGGAACCACTTCCAAAAGCTTTAATACTTATTTAAGAAACCACCACGCCGCTGAATATGCAGCATTTGAAAAGAACAATCAAGCTATGGCTAAAGCGAAAGCCACTGGAAGAAAAGAGTCCATCGGTGGCCCGCTGTTGATGAAACAAAAACAAAGCTACTACGAGGAAACCTATATCTCTGCCCCATGCACAAGCATTGAAAGTGAACACCTGTTTAGCTTGGCTGGACATGTAGTAGATGAGAAAAGAAGTCGCCTGAGTGGTGAAAAAGCAGAAATGCTTTTCTTCATCAAGAAAAACCTGCCACTAATGCTCAAGTGACTCCAATAAGACTGAGATCAAAGCTTACCCTTGATAATGTTGTTAGAAGATTTAGTATTGTTAGATTTTGCAAGTTACTGTTTAGATGGCTTATACATTTAAATGCACACAAAGCTGCTGCATTGGGGGATTTTCTTTTAAGTTGCTAGTATGTTCTCAAAGGACCTTAAACCTTGTGATTTTGTAAAAGCAATACTACTATATATAATAATACTACTGTGCACTTTATTTTTGGTAAGAACCTTAAAACACTTTTCTAATCTGATCTTTTGTTGAAGTTTTGTTTTCTGAAATGTAAAAAATCAAAAGACCAATGTTGTAGTCTTAAGTTTGTTTTATTTAATTAATATTTATTATTTAATTAACTTCTATGTCAAGGCTCTACCTCATGGGCAGTTAAAACAAGTTTATAATGGTTCAAGGCTATCGTTCAAGGGCATGTTTTTCAAGAAAAGATTGTAACATTGAAAGTGAATTGCGATCTTGTAACACAGTGTTGGTTATAGCAAAAAAAGAATAAAATCGGTATTAACCAAAATCCGAATCGGCAGGTCAGACTTTTTAAAGATCGGTGATCGGAAATCGGCCAGAAAACTGCAATCGGTGCACCCCTTCCTTCCTTCCTTCCTTCCTTCCTTCCTTCCTTCCTTCCTTCCTTCCTTCCTTCCTTCCTTCCTTCCTTCCTTCCTTCCTTCCTTCCTTCCTTCCTTCCTTCCTTCCTTCCTTCCTTCCTTCCTTCCTTCCTTCCTTCCTTCCTTCCTTCCTTCCTTCTTTTAAATAATCCACATCTGCTTTTAACTCTGTTTCTGACATGTTCTGTAGGAACAATACATTTTTAGCCTCCTCTAATCCTAGGATGCCTTTGACCCATCGATAAGGAAACTGTCCAAACAGCGAACTCCTTAAAAAGCGGTTTCTATAAACGCAATCTTCCAAAGGTGGTGGAGGAGTAAATCTATTCATCCTGGGACTAAGCAATAGAGAGAGATTTATATTTTTAAATAATGAGATTTTTATAAAAGAGATGACTCTGTATTGTTGACATCAAGATGGTCTACATTACAATATATTAAAAGTTTGTGAATGCCAGCAGGTTATTTTTCAGCCATTTAAGACATGATCTCATGTGTCTCCCTTTGTGGGACAAAGTTTAAATTCAGAGATACCTTTTTTATAATTATACATACATAGTAATACATAGAAACAGAGTAATTCAGCTTAATTGGTATACAGAGTGTCTACTAGCAAGTACCTTATCTTATTACCCTCCCAGGCTGTCAAGTTTGGTTCCCCCGACCCGGCCACAACAGCTCTGAGTCTGAGCTCTCTAAGGAGGATCCACTGAAACCCGTCATGCTGTTTGACGTGGAGAAAGATCCCGAGGAGAGAAATGAGGTGTCAGCTCATTTCCCCGATGTGGTTGAGTATCTCCTCAATAGACTCGAAGAGCACCAGAAAACTGCACTGCCCATAAACTACCCTAAAGATGACCCCAGATGTGACCCGGGCCCCACTGGAGCCTGGGGGCCTTGGGCTTAGACGGAGACAACGGAGACATCATGAAGGTTTCTATTTGCACTTTGTTTACTGTGAAATCTAACAGCAGAGAACAATGTAAATATTGTTTTTATGAACAAATTCTTTCAGATTCTGAGTTTTGCTTAAACTGCTTTCAAGGTAGCTTTTCAAAAAATGGTCTCTTAATGCCAGGCCATATCTGTCGTTCTTTTTTAACTGGAATTTGCACCCAGTTTTTCTCCTTTTGGGAAAAATCAGACTTTTACATGTTTGAGAAATAAAAAATGTTAAAGCCGCACTTGAACAATCATTAATCCAGAATATATTTGGTGACTTTTTCTAAAGGGAAAAAAAAATAAAAATCTGCATCTAATAATGTTCTAATTAATGCAAATCATTACCTCTTTAGGTCCCGTTTTATTTTTCTTTCTCAGCTATTCTTTCAGAGTAACTGAATACCTACATTCAATACCTACAGAATAGGCAGCATAATCTTTTAAATGAATGTAAAACCATTTTAACCTTCCCATGGTGGCTTCAAAATAAAGAAAATATATATATTATCTGAATTTGCAGGTTGATGAACCCTTTTTGGAGTGCATTATGATGTCAAGTTTGGACTAATAATGCCAGAAGTGTTTATGATCTGATACTTTAAATCTGGCATGTCCACAGTCTGTCCTCGAGGGCCGCTGTCCTGCAGGTTTTAGAGTTTTTACAGCTTTAGCACAGCTGATTTCCTTTGATAGCTGGTTAACAGCCTAGAAATGTTGAAAATCTGTTTGACAGCGGCTGCAAGTCAAAGTTGGTGGCTGGTGTAGCTTTTTCTTCCCTCATTTGGATGATAAAAATGGCAATGATAACAAATACACGACATGCTGAACAGGTCTCAATCTATAGAAACATTAAGAAATCAGAGTAAACAAGACATATTTTTACTAAATGGAGGGAGCTGAACTGCATGCGGCTGATGTGATCTTGAGGCTTGGCTGTTGAATGAATCTGTCGCTGTATTAGCTGATTCAATAAAAGAAAAAAAAGCTAATTTTACTCAAAAATATCGGCTGGATGACTAGCAAGGTTTCCTTCACCTGGGATGATATTGTTCTGATTCTGCGTAACCATGCAACCATCCATAAAGGGATTTTCTTCTGGGAAATAATTGTCCGCTAACATGTTTCTATTATGTAATTAGCAAAAAAATACATTAATCTACTCACAATCAGGAATGCAAATATGTTTGTTCTGCCTAAATATATATATATATATTAGGGATGGGACGATTTATGAAAACCGTCCGAACCGTTCGGTTCGACTGTCTCAGTTCGATTCGCGTTTGTTTCGTTCGGTTCATGCGCTGCTCCTTTTTCTCATAGGCGAAGCGTTTACACTCCAGAGGAGAGGGTGGCGGTACTGCGACCAAAGCCAACCACCAGTAGTAAACAAGAAGAAGAAGAAGCGAAGCTGCTTAGCCGGGTGTAGCAGAAAAAAATCAGTTGTTATGGAGAATTGTGTGGGTATGGCGAGTGGGAAAGAACAGGAGTTGGAAGACGCGCCAGCAGCACTTTATAGGTCTGCTGTATGGGACCGCTTTGCATTTAGAGTGACCTACGATGACGGCGGAAAGAAAGTTGTGGATAAAAGTGCAACAGTGTGCAAGCATTGTGCAACACGTTTTGTTTATGCTAACAGCAACATGACCAACATGTCATGCTAACCCCGAAATCCCTCATACTCCGTCAGTGCTCCGCCCCGCTTCGCTCCAGGACGGCTGCACAAAGCAAAGCTACAGCCTCCACTGTGGCTCCCGTCCGCTCCCCTCTAAATCCCTTGGAGATGGTAGAGAGCATGCGCGAGATGATTAAATTCAAAGCAGCAAAACATACGGAAATGATCCAGGGTTTCTGCGGATCATTAAAAATAATTACAATCCATTCTTTTTTGGGGGATTTTTTCATTAATTTCATAAATTTTTATGAGATTTCGGTGTAACAATCAACATATACTGAACCGAAAACCATGACCACAAAACCGTGAATCGAACCGTGGATTTTGTGAACCGTTCCACCCCTTATATATATATATTTATATATATATATATATATATATATATATATATATATATATATATATATATATATATATATATATATATATATATATAAATATATATATATATGTCTGGAATGTTTTTAGAATCCTGCTTTGGAGCAAAATGGAAAGGAATATGGCTTCCTGAAAATTGCCTGACTCTTTAAGGGGCTGTGATTGGTTCCCTAAGGTTTCTCTCTTCTATAAAGTAATTTATCAGACAAAATGATTCATTGAAAACAGGCGATGGACCAAAATGGGTTTGTTGCCATTTTGCTGAATTGTTTATTTTTTTTACTTTATCCAATATGCTGAAAAAGGGAATTGTTTAACCTGTGATGTATGAAATTTATTCTGGGTCAGTTGTGTTATATTGAAGGTTCATAATGCAATGAGTATTATGTGTTCACAATGTGATGAAATAAATTTTATTTTATTTCTAAAAGTCCTGGCCTTATATATTTTTCCCTTGGTGGTATTTTTGTGTCATATGTTTTCAAATGTATAAATCCTGTGTGCTTAGAATATAGAAATAATAATAAGGTTTTTGGAGCATTTTAGGAAACATGTTTCATCTGTTTCTTAGAGTTTGTGAGTAGGTGATAAAGGGCATTACCATCCTGTTGATACTTAAAGGGAGGATTTTTATACCTAGCACACTAGCAGTATCCATGACAGCTTTTACATAAACACACTAAACATTGTTTGAAATATTTCCGATTGTTGGTTCATACTGCTTAGTTAATATGGCGGAAGGGAGATTACCATAAACATCCATAGAAGGAAATATTTGAGTATTTAGATTTTGTGCTGCATTAACTAACTAAATCCATTCTATTACCCCTTTAACTGTATTAATTAAACGCACAAAGGGATATATTTTAGTGCAACATTTAAAAAAAGCAGAAAAAAATATTACCGGTAAATATAATTTTTCCTCTCTTTATGATGGGAAAAGGGAATTTCTTAGGTAGATCTCAGAGCAAATATTTCAATGTTACCTTAGAAACATCTGAATGTAGCTGTCCTAAAATAATTACTAACAAAAGAGTAATAAGACGATTAGAAAGCTAATTATTTGAACCCAAACAATTAGGAAAAACAAAGCCATAAGCTAGAGTTCATATTTCCAAGTCTTCCTAGTTAATCAACATTTTTGAGCTCCTTTATGCTAGAATAAGCTTTGAACCTAATGTGTCTTTGCAGATTTTAGGTCACAAATTGATTAATTATTCATTTAGTAACAGCCAGACCATATGGCTTGCCTGTGGCACATGTTTTATGTCATTTGTTACACTGGAAAGTGGCTAAAACTAAAAGCCAAGGAGCATCAGTATTGTATATGAAAACACACCATTATTATTTTCTCAGTATTGAGCAAAAGTTATGATTTTAGTTCAATCAAAAGTGAATTTGAGAACTGGTAAATAATGTATTTCATAAGATATTACCGTTTATGTAAAACAGGAGCCTGTTATGTGGTCTGCAGACCACTTTTACACTTCTTATAGCCTATATGTGGTGAGCTAAGTTATACTATTCCTGTCTGTGTTGTTATGATCTGCTAATACTTGTGTCACAACTGAGCTGTTTTTTGTGGTTTCAGCTTGTTTTTAACACTTAATCCCACCTGTTTACTTATCCATATCTCATTCTAACAGGCCAACTGTCTCTGTAGTTGTCCTAAAAGCTGAGTCTCCCTGTGTCCAGAAGTCCTAATGCAAGCACAGCAGTAAAACCTAGACGGCCTGATCATGACAGAGGAGCTCAGAGACACACAAGCTATGTGCGAACACTCAGACCTAAGGGTCGATTTAGAAGGAGCAATTATCAATCCGTTTTCGGACCGTTAGATGGAGCAGAAGTCCCCTGAGGCCACATTCACTTTACTGGTCCTGTCCAGGCAAATGTATGCCTACGGTTTGATGCAGGTTCCTCTCACTCAAAGATTTTTAGACGGACAAACAATGGCTGCATTTCCATTACGAATGTACACCAAACTTTGATGATGTTCTGCTAATGTTAAAAAAAACCCCACAATTTCACATTTTTGGTATTTCCATTAAATAGGTAATGCATTTAAATCAACTTGTGTAAGTTTGTTAAGCGATAAATGATTAATAACATTCATTTCTTTCATCATCCTATTACTTAGTGTTTTTTTTCTTGTCTAGTTGTGATGTGAAATAAAAGCCTTTCCCATTAAAAAATTTGAATCAGCCAAAAGAAGCATTTCTGTCACGATGTGTTTGGAGGTTTTTATGAGGACCCAAATGCAGAGGCTGAGAGGCAGGGGTGTGTTCTTTGAAGATTTAATAGGATAACACAGGTAGCAAAAACAGGTATCCAAAAATCCAACATAAAAATTAAACACAAACCAGAACCATGGAGACATCAGGGGAAAACCATCACAAGGAGCCAGGGTGAGACAAAGTAAGACGAGGAACCAGCACTGAGGGACTGCAGAGGGAGTGTATTCATGGCTGACTGAACAAAGGCACGACTAACGAGCTGATAAGGAGCAGGTGTGCGTAGAGCTGATGAGGAAGCCAAGGGAAAAGAAAACAAAAGGGGGCAACAGAGGACGACAAAGAGAAACCTAAGAAACTTAAATAAATCCAGAACACACCAATAAAGCTAGAACACAAGGAAAAACCTGGATGAACTTAAAACTGAAAACTTAGAGAAAACCAACAGAACCAAGATCGTTACAATTTCCTCCTAGTCAGAGGTGCGTTGTAACTAGTCACACTTCCTCTGTTACATTTACTTGAGTAATATGTTGAAAAGATTTTACTTTTAGGAGTAATTTTACTGTACCTTATGATTTTACTTGAGTAAATTACTTGGGAAGTACTTCTACCAGAGTAACGGCTCTGCTTACTCTCTCAACTCTCAAGTTCAGCTGTTCAGTGATCAGCAGTGGATGTTTTTTACCCTGCTCTAATGCAGTTTTATGTTGAAAAATATAATTTGGAAATGTAGTTCTTCTACAGAGTTAATTTGTAATCCTGTAATTAATCAAACAAGAAGTCTTTTTTACCAAGTGTTTTTCTACTCTTATTTGTGTAACTATATGTTTACTTGAGTAAAATATGTTGTGGTAGTGCTATTAGATGAGTAAAATCTTTGGGTAGATTACTTTGTTTAAAAACCTTCTGATTAAAGAGGTTTTGTTCATTGTTTGTTTTTTTTTCAAATTGCCATATTTCCATTGAAGAAATTTATTTTTATAATTGCAATTTGCATATTCTGATGGTCGGGGGAAGTGCAGCTAATGTCATTCCAACAGATTGTTGCTCAAGATTTGCCTAGATAGATAAGAAAAATAGAGCATGAGGAAGAAAGTCAGTTTCAGAGTACTTCGTTTTCCTCTCACGTCACATCCTTTCTTCCTGTTTTTGGTACACTGGGAGATCCAAGCTAGCTGTTTCAGGGTTTGAATGAATTGTGTTAAAAAAATCATTTTTAATCCTGGTAGCAATGGAAGATGATAATAAAGAGGAACAGTCTGCTGTACATTGTTGTTGAATAATGTTTCAGTCATTTATGCCATGTAGGGTCTAAAGCAGGCATCCTCAAAGTCGGTCCTCGAGGGCCGCTGTCCTGCAGGTTTTAGAGGTTTCTCTGCTGTAGCACAGCTGATTCTGATGATTGCAGTTCAGCAAAAGCCTGTTAACCTTCTATCAGCGTAAATCAGCTGTGCTGGAGCAAGGAAACCTCTAAAACCTGCATCACAGCGGCCCTATAGGAACGACTTTGGGGATGCCTGGTTTAAAGCAAGTGCTGTAGGTCCACAACAGTTTGTGGTAATATTTTGGCAATGGATAGCTTGCAAGGCTGTAGTAGTATTTATAAACAGGTCAAGATGCGTATATATGGCCTGAGCCGTATCAGAGTCAGACGGGTTTAAAAACTTCATCGAGTTAAATATT